CTCTCTCTCTCTCTCTCTCTCTCTCTCTCTCCTTTATTTCCTATTTGTATAATAAAAGCAATAATAAAAATTTCAATTACAATGAAATGACTTTTATTTGATACAAAGTTGCTATAAATTATTTATAAATTAAATTAAATGTGAATTTAATTTTTAGAAATAATTATAACAAAATATATAAAAATAAGTCGATAACCAAATTATAAATTAAGTTATAAGTGCTCTATATTTACGCAATAAAAGTTAATCATTATAAACGATAGACTGAAAATGCTATTAAATGCATATTTGGGACAAACATTTAATTTGATTATTTTTCAATCAATTGATTGCAACAATAATCGATAAACTGCTTAAACAATCATTTATTTCATACTCTCTATTAGATTGTGGAAAAATTTCAAAACACAAAATAAAACTGTATAAGTGCTGTACACTTAATAAATACATTGCATAACATAATACAAAACTGCATTACCTGTTCATATTACTTCTCATTTGTATTATCACTATATAAAATGTATTATTACTTAATACAAGTATACGTTAATCATATACACTCCAGATTCACAATAGGCTGTACAATACAGTAGTAATACAATGAGCATTAGGCTTAGCACACAAATCTAAAGTTAATTAAATTAGAAAATTAAATATTTAATTACAAAAATATATTTTATATGAGTATATATTTATAAGGACTATATGTAACTATAATTTATTAGTTTCAATATTGAAATGATTTATAATGATAATTTTGTATAACCTATGCTTATAATAATTCAATAAAAATATATAGATTAAGAAATCAACATTTTTACAATAATTGAATTATATTTCAATTGTAATTTGTATGAAATTTGCATTGTTTTCAAAGTGGATTAAAATCTATTTGTATCAAAAATTATCGCAAGTATTGTAATAATTGAACGTTTGGTGAAATGAAATTTATTAAAATATAAAATTCATTATTTCTGTGAAATGCCTTAACAATTGACGCCAAAAAGTCTGCATTTCAACACATATTGACTCATTTGATGGGAAAATGTGCAAAATTTTGATATCAAATAGAAAAAGGGATTAATTTTAATTAAGAAATGCAAACATTTATGCATAAAATACAATCACTTGATCACAACATTAACAACAGTACTATAATTGAATGGCTGTTATGAAAGGCATTGATGTGAAAGACTGGACAAAAGTTGTAAAACTTTTTGTTGGAAAACAGATTAGGAGTAAGAGTGAGACTAAGAGTGAGACTAAGAGTGAGAATAAGCGAAGAGTTAATGATAGGAAACGATGGAAAGCGAAGACATTTATACGTTTTATAGGGAAGAAATAGATCCCGAGTTTGCGATCATTTGGACAAAAGTGGTCGAAAACGCCGATTCATGTGATGTGAGACTGGAGTGCATTGACGGCCAGTACTGTCACTCACATCAGAGTCTTCTGGCCATTAGTTCCCAATGTTTTTTCGACGCCTTTCGTTGGTTTCACACGAATTGCGAATTGCCTTCAAATGAAGAACTGGTCATCAATTTGCCAAACATTGTCTCATATGATGTGTTGATTGCAATCATTCAGTACATCAACGATGGCTTCGTATCCATAGCCGAGTCTCAAGTTCTGAATTTTCTGGAAGTATCCAAGTTTTTGGCCGTTAAAGGCCTTCAAGACATCCAATTAGTATATCTCAACGAAATGTCAGTCAATTGTGTTTCCAATCAATTCATTATTAATTTAAATATCGATTTGAATTGTTTAGGGAAGACATCGACCAAAATGTCACTTCAAATCAATTCAAAAATAAATACAAATATGTGATAGAATTGAAAAACTCGGATCATATCAACGATTCATCCGAAGACTCGTCGGACGAAATGAATGGTTTATCATCGGAGGACTCGTTGGACTCATACTTCAAGTACGACAACTTCACGCCATTGGATGCGCTCATAACGTATGGCAAGGGTTTAGCGCCCAAAATAACGAGTCTTCTGAAGAAACCGTCGAAGAAGTCGTCGGCCATCAGAAGAATTGGCGTTCAGGGAAGGCGTCCTCAGATCGGGTCACCGCTAATCACCGAAGAGTTCAAATGTAATGATCGCTATCAATGCAAAGTCTGCTTCAGAAGCTATCTCTGGAAGAAGTCTTTGGTCAGACATTATAGAGATCTTCACCCGAATAACGTCCAGAAGGTTACCCAATGAATCCATTGGTCACATCAAACACATACTTCATGTTTATTTTACATTACAGTTAAGATCTATTCTAATACTAAATCCCAATTTCTAACATTTAATTCATTATAAATTAATATAAATCACAAAATTAGTAACAAATACCCTAAATATGTTTTAATTATTATGCATTCATGCAATGCATATAATATTAATAATATTCACAACATTTTAATATAATGATAACTCAATTGTTTGTAAATTGTTTAGACATTTATTTAATCAAAATCTGTAATTTTTAACATTTTCCATCATTTAATTTTCTCATTCATCTGTAACTATAAATTCATTAATACTGTGAATAAATACGATATAAAAACTTATCATAAAAACCGGAGTTTAATTATAAAGAATATATATATTAATTATATTAATTGAAAGAATCGGTTATATCTCTAACTATAGTCTGATTCTCAGATTCATTCATTCCGAAGAAATTTGCAAAAAAGGGTTGCATTTTGGGCCCATTTCTCGTATCATTTCTAACCCTCTGATTATCCAAACCAAACAAATCTCCAAAAGAGCCAAATATTGATGAAATATCTGATTCGTTGTCTTCTTTTGATTTCTCTTCTTTAGGTCTCTCTTGTTTTGTATTCAATAATTCGCCAAATAATGAAGTGATGGGTCGTGTGGTCAGTGCGCCTGTGGTCTGGTTTTGATCCAACAATTCTTTTGTTGGTTTAACGTCTGAAGCCTCGGGTATGTACTGACGATCCAATAGATCGCGAATAGACTTATTAATTAACGGGTTTTCTGCTGGTCTCACCACTTCTGGGATAATCTCTCTATTAGGCACTCTATTAGGCTGTCTATTGATCCCTCTGTTAATAATCTCTCGAAACGGATTCATTACAAAACTGTTGTCTGAGTTATAGGTATTTCGATTGAGGTTTGGGTTTAGGTTTGAGTTTCTATTATATGGGATATCACTTGTATAGACGTTTGCGCCGCTATTTGTGTTAAATAGTTGTGGAGTTCTTTCAATGATTTGAGTAATAACTGGTTTCTGTTGGTTAGGAGTGAAGAATCCTTGAATGGTTTGGACGACATCTCCCACTGAATCCATAACACACTTTCCAGCGTTGAATGATTTGCATGACTTTGTTATGTAACTGTTGACAGTAGAGTCGGTTAGAGTAGAGATCAACTCATCAGAGACCGAGTCCGGGCATAGATTGGCCACTTTGGCCAAGTGAGCGGCATCTCTCACCCCTTGAATGCACGCGTTGTGTCGGAAATGAGTGCTTCAATTAGAATTATTATCATTACTTTTAATTATAAGTATCAATATTAAGAATCAATTTTAAAAATACTAAAAATGTGTAAATTTTGTGTGTAATTAATTAAATAGTTATATTAATTTACATTCTTAAACTTGTTTTATACAAATTCTTGCTTTTAAATATATTCTACTGATTTCTATGGTTTTTAATTAATTTCAACGCCCATTGAAATTTTTCTATTAAAAACAAATGCAGTAAAGTATAAGAATATAAGAAAAATTACTAAATATTTGTACGATTTAAACTAAACGATACAATAGTGTAATGTAAGTGTTATATTTAGACAATTAATAGTGTAGTGTTTTATTTTAGACAACGATTTAATGGCTTTAAAATCTTTAAAATTCTTTGTTATACTTAATACAAGTGTTTTGTTTCATTTATTGTTACGTAAGGTGTAATTTATTTTACAAAAACTTTGGCACCTAATTGTCTAAATTATTTCCTAAATAATTCTAAAACTTAAGTAACTTTAAAAACTAAAATGCATTAAAGTTACAAATAAGTAAAATATTACAAATGTTTTAAATCCATAAATCTAATATACAGTTACAGAATGTTTGTATATTACTGTAAAAGTAGTTTTAATGTAATTATAAATATTGAAAATGCTTACCAACAAAGAGAATCCTTATTACCATTTAAGAAATCGGTGACAAATTGAATGGGAGAGAAGTACTGCAAACAGGCGGCCACTCCCGACCCCACAGTCCGATCGCATTCACTAAATAACTGGAAGTCATCGTTCAGACCATTTATTTCTGTATTTCAAAATTTTAATCAATTAATAAATAAATGAATTTGAATTACGAACACATTTAACGCTTTGTAATTCTCACCGACTGTTCCGACAATAATTAGGACAACAAAAGCCTTTAATTTCATAATTAAAGATTGTTTTGAAATTCAATGTAAAAGTTAAAAACACTTCACATCAACTTTAGAGTACAAAACAAGTCTTTGATGTAAAAGATATTTATTAATAATTTTCTTGCGATGTGTTCTTCAAAAAGTTTGCAAATAAAATGTGAAACTTTCTCAAACATTCTCACGATTTTTCCTCGTATTCATTACGCAAACATATCATGTGTTGTCGAACAACACCTAATGGTCTTGAGATCAGCTTTTATTCCCATTGAATGTCATTTATAATTATAAGATAACTTCAATATAAAAACCTATTATTGCCTTTGTTTTCAAAATCTTCTCATCCCTTTTTCTTTTTCCACACAAACCTCTATTTCTCTCTTTACTTACACTTTATTTATTTAGTATTTTTTAGTTATTTTTATAAATATGTTTCAATAGTTTAGAAAATTGTGATAAATGTTATTGAGTGTCAAAATTTAATCAAATATTTAGTAAAGTTTTTGTTGGGTTTGTTATACTTTTATTTACAAAATCTCGTAAAACAAAACTTGAAAGTCAACTAAATCTGCGGATTATATATAAATTCCAATATATTTCGTTTAACAAAATTTTAAAAGTCAATGAAATCAATAAACCAATGAAAGTGTTTCATGAAATGAATGTAATATTTTAGTTTGATTCACAAATTTTCCTTATTATGCAATGAATGTAGTTTTTATGCAAATAATTTACACTATAAAAGATGAAATAACTTTTTATTTACCATTAAAATATTCATATTATTTATAAAATTCATACCATATATGATATGCATTATAATTTAATGTTAAATAAATATTTATTTTAAAAATATGAATGAAATTAAAATTTGAAACAAAAATATCAATTTTAAATAAAATATTTGTACAGAATCTAAGGGTCTGAGAGGTTGTGTTGATTGCAAGCTATAGCCGCTGCCCCGCCGACCACTCCTTTACATATGTTTGAAGCTATAAATACAGTCATTGGCGGCAAATCCGGAATCAATGAAATCAATTTTCCGATCAATGAATGGCTTTTAAGTCCTAATATGTCTGAAAGAGTCGGAAGAGAAGGCATTTTGAATGGAAACGACGATAAAACTGATGACATGGGCTTCTCTTTGTCCATTGGTTTTGCTGTAGAGTTAATGAGAAAATAAATTTTAAACAAAAATAATCTAGGCCAAAACAAAGGCCAAACTAGTTGAAACATACGGAAACAACAGGGAATCAATATTTTATGGCAATTTATCGATAGGAATGTGTTGTCGAGTGTGTATAGACTCTTGAAATATGCCTGAGTATAGCCGTCAATGGATATCGTATTAAACATTTCTTTACCCCCGAGTCTAACACATTGAGAGGCATTGGAAGCACAGCCCACCTAAATGTATAACAATATTGCATTATTACATTTAATTACACATTTTTAATCAAACAAATCGCACCATGGTACAATATGGTAGCCATTTTTGTCCTGCAAATGCGCCAAACAGATTGACAAAGAGCTCTGCAATAAATCAAAATCATAATTATAATAGATGATCATGTGTTGCATATATTAATTGATGCCATAAATCAAGAATTTTTTGCACAATAATTGAAACCTTGTTCTTGTAATGGATTTAACACTCGAATAGTGAGAGAGCTTTGGCTCAGATCTCGGTTTTCATTGTCCCAAAATGTTAGATTCATATTTTGGCAGCAATTTATATAAATTAAATTTACAATTAATAAACATTTAAATACTTTCGCTAAACAATCACTTTTCATTGTTTTTTGGGTAAAGTATAACTTTTTGAATTGAATACTACACTCTGTGTATCTACACTATAGAAATCAATAAGTGTTTCGCACAACAGACCACTTCAACGACTGTTTGGAAGCGTTCAATGAATTTGACTTCAGATTAAACTCATTTTGAAGACTTAACCGGAAAATAAATGCCTAAAAATTGTCGTTTAATTTGTCTTTTATTTGCCCTTTTCTTAAGTACGGTATTTAAAGCGCTTAAGAGATTATATCTATTATAACGGTATCACAAATCTGCTTGAGTTCACTGTTTTATAGTTTCTCTCTCTTATTGAGCTCTAAATTCTTGAACACAAACAACTAAACAGTAATATAAATCACATATTATTTATAATATTAAATATGTTTATAATGAATATTTTCAAAGTTTATTAAAAATATTTCATTAAAATCTCTCCCAAATGTCATACAATTAATATTTTCAAAAATAAAAACATCTAATACAAATAAAATTCACTTTAAAAATTATTTATTTATAATTCTAACAATTATGATAAATTGTAACAATATATTTACAATGATATTTCTAATATAATATATAATTTACATTTAAAATTTTAGTAAATAATAAGTCTTTTATAACATTGATGGTCACTTTGAAACTCATATTTTGATTCATTCAAGCAATGAATCGCAAGCTTTTACTTACTTTTTATAGTTAAGTATTTCATTTAGTTTTGTTAATAATTTTAATGTATTAAATAATATCATAATTTAATTATAGAAAATATATATCATTAACTATATTAAATCAAAACAATAATTATTATTCTTATAACTGCCTTAAAATAAAATTCAATTAATTTAATAATTAATAGGTTTTTTGTTGTTTACGTTTACAATATATTATTTTAATTACTATTAATATTGCATTCATTTAGACTTGAAATTAATCAAAATAAATGAAATGATCGCTAATTATATGGTATAATATATAATATACAGTCATCTATGGCTTCAAATCGTTTGTACATTTTCTGTATACACCAAAACTGTACACAAAATAGTATACATTCATTACAATCGTATTAATTCATTATTTGTTTAATTAGGTTCATGTTTATGACAAATAGCCAATCGTTTACTTCTAATTTTTAATCTTATTTCTTAATTGTATACAGAATTTGTGAAATATATAGATTTAAAATACTAAAAATAAATGACATATTATTTTTATATAGAAGTTTATTTGATGGGAAAGACCGGGATTTTGAACATTAGTTGTGATAGAAGTGAACGATTGTTGGGGTGTTATAAGGGGTGAGAGAAGCCGTATTTGACTGCATAACAAATAGATCACAATTCATCGACAATTACAATAATAATAATAATGTGAAGTGACGTGCGGTCAGTGGTCACTGGCGTCAGGACTGTTGGCATCGATTAAAACCTAAACAATTGAAGAGCCTATTCATGTGCGTTGAGCGCCGACTGTGAACATCGCCGGCAGTTCTGTTCCTCTCGTACCGATCGGAGGAGCGCTGCGATAATTCTAGTTGCGATTCACTGCCCACTAATTGGCCATCCATTGTGTTATTATCACTGTTACGTCTGTGGAGATCGCACAGGTATGGCAGTACAGACATCGACCGGAACTCCTGTCCGCCGGGTTTTTGTGGTATTTGGACGGCGGATGAGATGCGCGGGTGTTTCTTCTTCACCCAGTCGTGGTATTTGATGTCTTCGATAGCGTAACGCTCTTCGGGCGACTTCCGGAGCATTCCCTCGACGAGCGATTGGAGCAACTCATCCATGTCTGACGGTATGCTGAGCTCGCATTTGCTGATGTTCTCGAAGAGGCGGTAAATGTTGTCGCCTTCGAACGGATAGATTCCGGTCGTGAAGTTAAACAGCGTTACGCCCGACGACCAGATGTCCACTTTGAAGCCCGAAAAGTATTCGTTTCCGTCGGCGATCTCCGGAGGCTGGAAAGCGGGCGATCCCTGACTTAATTTACACAAATCGCTCATTTGAAACGTGTCTAACATCTCAGACACACCAAAGTCCGTGATTTTGACGACACCCGCGTTTGTGAGCAATAAATTTCCCGGTTTAATGTCTTTGTGTATAATTCCCTGACTGTGAAGGTATTCCAAACCCAACACCAATTGACAGAAGTAGTCGTGTGACTGAAATATGGGAAACTTTTTGTCGGGCACTGAATCCAACAGCTCTTGTATGACAGCCACGCAGTACTCCATTATCATATAGAGCTTCTCTTTGGCCTCATTATAGATAACTGAATACAATTTGATTACATTCTTGTGGTCCAAACGCCTCAACAGTTGGATCTCTCTGTAAAAGCAATCATAAGATTTACATTATTTTTAACCTTTTATTCGCTATAATTATGTGTGAAATTTTGTTTAACTATTAACTCATGTAAACTGATATCCATAGAAAAGCAAATACTTTTCATCACTTAATAAATGGCTTCAAAAATTCAAATATAAATTCAATTGAAACAAGTTTAATTTAATTTAAAACTATTCACAAACGACGTGACCAAAGAAATGAGAACCCTTTGACTAAATGGTAAAAACATGAGATTCAATGCCTGGTATTTAATCCCCAAATTGATAACACAAACCATTTATAGTCTTAACGATAAATAAATGAGTCATTAATTGAGCAAAACTTCAAACACAAGGAAAGGGTGTTTCAAAAGGTGTGGACAAAGCGATGGAAAGGGTGGACACAAGGGTGCGGACACGGCGTCCATACAAACCTCTGGACATTCTGTTCGCCGTTCGGTATCTTTCGTAACCTCTTCTTCTTCATGATCTTCGCGGCCTTCCTCTCGAGTGTCTTCGAGTCGAGACACTCCTTGACTCGAGAGTAGGCGCCCTCTCCGACCACATCTCCCATCACGTATTGGTCCACAAACTTCGCTCTCTTCTTCTTCTTCTGGTAGAGTATCTCAAAGCTGTGAACCCTATGGAAGGCCAGCGGCTGTCCGTCCGGTTCCACCAGATATGCGGACATCGTTTGGCCCGAAGACGGGTCCGTCTGTTCGGTCGGATCAATGGTTTCTTTGGCACAACTAATGGTCCGCTTCTTCTGCCTCTTCGCGAGTTTCCCACCACTTCTTCGTCGATCACCGCTTCTGTTCGCTTCACTTAACCGTACATTAGATATGCATTGGCTTTATGTGTGTCGTGTGTCTTGGGATCCGATGCGGTGACCGTTCAATGGATTCAATGTCTTAAACAAACCATTGATTTGTACTTCACTTTCAAAACAACACTTTTTTCTGTTGTGTTTTGTTTTCAATTCAATCAAACATTTGCTGTATTTTTCTCACATTCAATACGACAGCGCATGCGTTGACACTAAACGCCGTTCACAAACACTGTTACTATTTATTAGATTTTTGGATGTGACCAGAATTTACCAGTAATTATCGCCCAAAATGATAGAATGATAATGATGGTGATTTAATTTTATTATCATGTACGCTTTTCATTATCACGTATATTATAGTACCCATAATATGGATTCCATATATAAGCAGCAGGGTATTTTAGGGTTAGAGAATTAATATATTATTATTTTTATTAAATTAATTAATGAAAATATTGCTTTGTCGACGTTTATGTATAAATTAAAAGTTAACGAACTAATTATACAACTTATGTAACTTTAAAAATTATATAATTTATAATCTCTCTCTCTCTCTC